TCTAGTCCGCCGTGAGCAACACTACTGGAAAAGAGTCTACAGATTGGCAGAATGGTATTACCGACAAAGACATGCGCCGCTGTGCGGCTGCTGGTTGGGCTCGAGAGAGAGCCCTTAAGGCACAACGGAACGAGTGAGTTCCGTATGAACGATCGGTGAGCGCCCCCTACCACAGTCTACAGGTTATTTTTGAAGAACTCAAGCTCGATGTCGCGGTTCTTCAGCCGATATTAGCAAGCTGTGCATGGAAGGCTTACCACTCTGAATTATATCAGGTGAATCAGAACAGGATTGGGTAAGGCAAAAGGTAGATCTTCAAGAACAGAAGGGAAAATTCTACAGGTTCTAATTATTTTGCGAAATTAAGATCTCAGTCCCCAGCTTGTCACCACAAGATCGGGCTTCTAGGGATCCATTCTGTGAGACATTCCGCAGGTTGGTAGAGGGGTGCTCGCCAACCGTTTTTGTGGAACTCACTCGTCTGGTTGTGCCTTACGGGTTCTCTCTCTTTCTCTCTGTCGAGTCCAACCAGTAGCCGCACAGCGGCGCATGACATAGGCAAAGACAAGGGAGACTGAGATGGCCATTTCTGGCTCTCGAGAGAGCCCGTAAGGCACAACGGGGCGAGTGAGTTCCGTAAGAAAACGATCAGTGTGCGCCCCTCTACCATTTTACATTCCTGATCGAAACCGATATGACAACGAGCCTGCTTCTGAGTGGTTAGAGGCGTTGGTCTTCTAACTAACACGTCAAGGGATCGAGCCCCAGGTGTTCCATTCTTCAGAGTTGGGTGTGACTGGATGACGACGGCTAATAAGCCAGAAATGTTCATTCCATTCTCCCTAGTCTTTGTCAGTAGCAAAATTCTGCCTACTTAGTAGGTTATTAACTGTTCAATGACATACAATCTTATCTTTGATTGACGTTTCCAGGCCCTTTGGGGTACCCGGAAAGTTGCTTTTGGTTGAAAGTAGCCAGATGATGGAGAACGGCTGTCGTCTAGGAAAAGCCGGGATGCATAATCTCCGAAGGATGTTCTTTTCGAGAGCCGATTTAAATGTCTCACAGAAGAGGCACACAAACCTATCATTGGCATCGATTTTTAAAATGCTGACTGCGACGCCATCGGCGTCTGAGCTAGGACACCGTGGAAAATGTTGAACAGTTACGCCCCAAAGAATAAAATTTTGAATTTTGAAAATGGAATCAGCATGAACCTGGATGTTCGGAACCGGCCCGTCCAAGTTTTCAATAGAGTTTTTGGACAAATGCACACTAAACCCGTAAAAGATCATCTTTACATCGGCTAGTGGATTTCTAAACTCAGACTGAACGATGGGGTATTTGGTATTTATACGTGCCCTCATCGTATGGCAAAAAGTCTTTGCAGCACTTAACAGGGTTTCCGGCGAGCCGCCTTCCTTGGGAAAGAATCTCGGCTCTCCCAGAAATACTACATACGGAGGGTAGAACTGGAATGAAGTTTTGGGGGCGGAAACGACTGAAGAGTAACCGCAGTTTTCGACGAAAGCATATTGAGCGGAAAACGTTAGTACGGACAGTTAGTCCTCACAGAGAACAACACGGGGAATAGGCGAGTTTAAAGCATTGTAAAGTTCTGCAGTGAAAAAACTCACATCTGAGTTAACGGAGAAGTAGACGCAGTCTTGAGTCTAAAGTATGTTTGTAAACCTTGTAAACAATATGTGCTAACACAGTATTTATCAGAAAAAATGTCACATGTGGAGACAAAGATGTTATAGTCGTAACTTTCAAGTGAACCTACGTATGACAACGAGGGGCAGTCGCCCCCTAGTGGGAAATTATATCAAGTAGGCTTGATTCGGGGATGAAAAAATTCACAGCCTGATGCAGTATACTGACATCCAGGTTTTCGAGCGGAGTCTCCTACCCTCTGGGAACGGGGAGTGGATGTTATACAACTTTAGGAAGATTAAAGTCTTCCAAACTTTATAGATGAATCTAGTCTAAGCCGCCTAAGGCATGAAAGGCCTCCGATAGGCAGACATCAAAATCCTCGCTTGGGGGGGGGGAGGGGGAAAGGCTCCACTAACTTATTCCTCAGTGTGAATTGGAAACCAGTAGCCACAATCTACCGTGGAAAGACATGGAAGGTTCAACGGCTGAAACACAAAATTCCCCCCGACTGCATTTGCGACCAGTTCGACTGTGGCTGCAGCCAGAAGGCGAGAACTCTGAGCCCACCAAGGAGGGCGTCGCCCATGCCTCCGTCAAAAAAGCAATGTCTAGACCGTGTATAAAAACCACTGTCTGAAGCAGAGACATTCACTTTACTTTGGCAGAGTCCTGGCATTTAGAACAGAAACTTAAAGTGGAGTGCGATTTGTTTTTGTAGGGAGAAATTTAGGTCACTGGGCGATTTGAAGCTTACAGGAAATGTGAATTAGATACTTTCCGCTGGCTGGGTAAACAGTTTTGCTGTCTCGAAAACGTCCGGTTTTAACTTAGGGCGGTGTTTCGTTTGAGGGAGGAAACTGCAGAAGAAGGCTACACATGATTTCAAGCTGTCTGAATTTACACAAGTAGCGCGTACGCAGGATACTGGGATGCACGCCAGCCGAAGTGGCGCTGTGGATAAGGATGGTTCATTTCTCTGACTCTGACTCCATCTCAGAAGGTTGCGTGTTCGAATCACGTCGGGGTCACCAATAGGGTTTAGCCTGACTCCAGTCTTCCAAATATGTGTCGTTGTTCGTGTTATGCGTTGGTCCATCGATTAACAGATCGAACTGAACGCCTGGCGGAAGATAAAGGCTAAGTCAAAGAAACAAAATTCCCCCACTGCATACCAATCCTCAAGTTACTCGTGATCCAAAACCAAAGTGTTTCCTTGTTGATTTCGAGCTATCCAGACAAGGACCTGAGGGGCAAAGATCGCCAGCGGTCCACGCACACCTATGCCAGGATTCCATTGGGAAGGTGGATGTGAGACGTCCTGCTTAATTTAGAAAAGGGAGTCCGTTACTAGTGTTGGCACGAAGTGCTTAGTTACTTCCTTATGAGGCCCTGGAGAGCGTGCTGTGTTTGCTGAGTGCCGGATGATCCCAGTGTGGAACGCTGCTTAAAAGAGGTTAACTTTTTCAACTCCCGAAAATCTGAAAATTCACTGGACCATGCCTTTGAATTAGGCACTTACTTACTGACGAGGTAGGTAAGGGCGTTTGCCGGTCGACATTATGTTTCCTCCAGAGTCACCTAGATTAGGGCAGGGTGAGGCTATAGATGATATCAAACCTGAAATAGTGGGGACCATCAAATCAAGAGAGAGAGAGAACAATGATATTTAAAATGGAATTCTCTCTCCATATCGTTTCAGGGGGTAATGAGCATGACAGCATTACGACTATGTGAACGTTGTCGTTTTGTACGTGCAATTCTAGGTTGGAAAACGCACTTCCGTAGAGGTATATAAACATCCTCGAGGGCAAATGAGTGGTTAGAAATGTTATGCAGATGAAAATCATATCTGCATCTCTTCGCCTCTCCGTTTCACAACTTTTGCGCTAATGAGCCTACAAATGCTCCTAGTAAAAATCTCAGAGAACACTTGTCAAGTTCTTTTTAAAAATTAATATGAAAGTTGAGCAGAAGATGCCCTCTTGTCGTAACCGGATTTCATTGATATTTTCGTAGATTTTGACTAATTCATAATGACCCAACTGCGAAAAACTCGGCGCCTCGGTGGGATTCGAACCCACGCAGTAAGGGGAAGGCTTTAGCGCAGCCAACGCTCTAACCACCTGAGCTACGAGGTCCCGCCGGACGACGCGAGTTTAATCACATTTGGGTCAAGTTACCCGCCCAACCTACTGCAACGTCTGGAATCCACCTGCAACTGAAGGGCTTGGAGACTCAATATTCGCAAATAATTTTTCATAATTTACGGGCGCGGGTGCATTCAAAGAAGTTTACTGAGTCCATCAAGCACTCTTCTTATCTCCGGACACTTTTATAATATACGGCTTTATGGGTAGTGCCTGGGTGTAGGGGTGTCCAGCGGTGGGTTCACGTGACGGTCGTAGCAGGTCGCTCACTTGCTTGCTGGTGAAGTCGACGCCTAGCGTCCACTCGCTGGCACTCAACTCTCATATGTGGCCCCCTGAACCTAGGCTCTGCCTAGAGACCACACCCCGGTAACCGACCCGACCGGCGGGCTAAACCAGGTGAGGGTTTCCGTGTGTGCATCCGCGCGCACGGCAATGAGGATTCCGCTGACCGGATGGATCAGCGCATCGGCATGGCCGTGACGAGGCTCCGTCTGAAACACCGCAGGGGGTCACAAGGTAAGTGATTCCTCAGGCAAGCAAAGGTTGATCTGCTGCCCTTGCTCTGCTTTTTCTTATTGCCTGATCTATGTCTGCTAGTATGTGTTTGTCTTTGCTGAGAGCTAATTGTCGTTCTGTTGGATTTCCTGTGTTGTCATTGCTTCTTATTGTCCTTGCATGCTCACTATTTCCGTTTCAGCAACGAGCTAGCTCAACGACTATACAATCTTCCAGTCGTTGCTGCCGCTGCCGCTGCCGCCGCCGCTGACGAAACCGCCTCCGTGGAGAACTGCTGATGTCAACTGCGGGACTCAGTCCGATCGACGGCGCTGGCCGTCCTCGGTCGCGCATGCCGTCAAGACAAGGACTGGTTCGGTGACAAAGACGCCGCCATCAGCAGTCTGCTTGCCAAGGACAGCCGGCTGTACAGAGCCTGCATCAACCGCCTTACCGACGCAAACAAAGCAGCCTTCTACAGAAGTTGTCACTTTCTGCAACAGCGGCTGTGAGAAGTGCAGGACGCCTGGACGGCTCATAAGGCCGAGGAGATTCTAGAGTACGCGGACCGCATGAGTGCAAGGGCTTCTTCTCTGTGATCATGGCTGTCTACGGTCCGCCAACCAAAGGCACTGCTCCTCTCCGCAGCGTCGACGGCAGTACCCTCCTCACTGAAAGGACACAAATTCTACAGCGATGGGCCGAGCACTTCTGAGGCGCCCTCAGCCGCCCCTCCACCACATCCGACGCCGCCATCGCCCGTCTGCCGCAAGTGGAGACCAACGTCGACCTCGACCCCCTGCCTCCCTCCACGAAACCATCAGGGCCGTCCTGCAGCTCTCCAGCGGAAAGGCGCCCGGATCAGACGCGATCCCCACTGAGATCTACAGGCGCGGTGGCCTCCAACTCATGAATCATCTGACGGCGCTCTTCCAGGACATGTGGCGTCAAGGAGAAGTCCCTCGGGATTTCATAGACGCCACAGTGGTGCATCTATACATGCGGAAAGGAAACCGCCAAATCTGCGACAAGCATTGAGGCATCTTCCTGAACAACGCCGGGAAAATATTCGCTCGCATTCTTCTCAATCGTCTGAACAGCCACCCAGAACGAGGTGTCATACCGGAAATCCAGTGCGGCTTCCATCGTCATCGTGGGACCACAGACATGATCTCTGCCGCCCGACAACTGCAGGAGAAGTGCCAGGAGATGCGGACCCACCTGTACTCTACCTTCGTGGACCTGACGAAAGCCTTCGACACGGTGAATCGTGAAGGACTGTGGAAGATCATGCAGGAATTCGGCTGTAACGACCAATTCATTCAGATGGTGCACCCAGCTCCATGACGGCATGATGGCGCACGCCGCGGACAATGGAGCCGTCTCAGAGGCATTTGCAGTGACCAAAGGAGTGAAGCAGGGATGCGTTCTGGCACCCACCCTCTTCAGTCTTATGTTCTCTACCATGCTGATGGACGCCTACCGCGATGAACGCCCCGGATCCGCATCGCCTATAGGACGGGCGATCACCTTCTCAATCAACGGCGGATGCACGTCCAATCGCGCGTATCGAAAACCATCGCTCACGAACTTCTCTTCGCCGACGCCTGTGCCCTCAACACCACTTCGGAAGAGGACATGCAACGGAGCATGGACCTCTTCTCCGCCGCCTGCGAAAACTTCGACCTGGTCATCAACAGGCAGAAGACGGCGGTCATGCATTAACCGCCACCCAACACAGCCCCTCCGCCCAACGCGCTGTAAATCAGCGTAGGTAGGTGCGCTTGCGCTCCCGCTGGATACATAGGTCGTCAGCATTGCTGCCCAGCCATCCTCCTCCTTTTGATCCGTCGTAGCGTTGATGTTGTTGGTTAAAATCCTGATCAATTGTTATGTAGACGGGGGCGGTGTGGAGTGGAGCATCAAGGTGTGAGCTCGACAGTGCCATCCACCTGCGCCCTCCCCTGCCTCCGGTCTTCTTGACTCTGTCTTGACACCGGGCCCAGAGGGTGGAGGAGGAGAGATTGCGGCAGAGGTAGCGCAAGTTTACACTAACTATAAATTAAATCAAACGCAAGTCACTGTGCCTACTTCAACTCGCTATGGAGCTCACGGTGGACATAGTCGGGCATGATGGTCGACGTATCTTCATAATATGCTGGAAATCAAGATCGTCTACCGATTCGACGCACAAACATCCAACAAAGGACGCTCATGAGTATCCCAAACCAGCATCCACAGCCAACTCTTCGCGGATGATTGTGCACTCAGTAAAACTACGGAAGCGATCATGCGAACGAACGTGTGTTTCTTCGCCTCTGGCCGCGCCAACTTTGCATTGATCATCAACATGTAGAAACTGGCGGTTATACATCAGCAATCGCTAGACCCGAGTTATAGAGAGACCAACGTCACCGCCGATGGACCTTAACTCACCGAAAGGGGCAACCTAAAAGGCACAATCTCATGAAATCTGAGGGTGGACGAATAAATGACCCACCGCAGGTCAGCAGAGCTGGGCTTACACCTCTGACCAACGGTGGGCGTCATCGCTTGTAACGGCCAACTATTACAAGCTTATTACGAAAAGTCCACTTGTTCCTGCTTGCGCATATGCCTCGCTGCTACTTGCATGAAGCCAAACTCACGCTCGCTCTCCGGGTGAGTCTCATTCGCAGTCTTCACAACCCGACAGAGCGGTTTCCCAAGCCATCGGAAGAGCTGTTCCCAAAGTACTTCCCTGACACAGCGCCCATCAGCGCTTTGTCGGGTAGTTCTCAAGGCCGCGGCAGGAGTGGGTTTCATTTCAGTTGGATTGTCAACTCCTGTTTGTGGCGTCTCCGCTAAGATATCCGCCTTCTGTCTGCCTTGCCTGCTCCGCGCAGGTGCATTCACGAGGAATAAAGTTACACGGGCTCAAGGTTCCTTAGCCTAGTTCGTGCTTTTTTCATGTGACTAATGTGTAAAATTCGCGGTCAAGACCTTAGGCTCCCTGCTGGATAGCGACGACAAAAGATGCGCGACTTTCGTCGACAATGTTCTATGAAAGTTCACGGACCAAGTCTGGTTGACGCGAATACATGCTTTAACGACCGACTGACGTTGCAGGCCACATCGATGTGTATTTACTCATTCACTTGCTCCGATGGAGCGGGGTGCATTGGTCGTACAACATGGCGCCTGGAAAAGAGAGTACGTGAACACATACCGGCCTGGTTGGGCAGAGGTGAACGGAAATCGATTTCGAGTTCTATTCTCACAAATCCTCTCAATACGAATCACCGAGTCGTTCCCAAAGAAGCCTTTCAGGTTGTCTACCGGACACCAGCAAGCTTCTTCAGAGACCTACGCCAACGGGTGCTAGCTACAGCCGAGGCAGTGGCTATACGGCTAGCCAATCAAGTACTATGTTGCCTGAAGACGCTGACACAGGCGCTCTGTCTTCCGTGGCCAACGCCGACCCCAGGTGATGATTGCACGTCGCCCCAACCACCTGATGGCAGTGATGTGTGCACAACGTACCCGACCTAAAAACATTACTCACAGCCTATATCCTCTCTCTTCCCCTCGCCCCCTTGACACAATGACCACGACACGCCCACCACGCCATAGCAGGCCTCGCCATGCGAGTGGAGAGGGAACGATGAGTGGCGTGGGAACGCTGAGTGTTAATAGCTCCTGAATCACTTATAAACCCTGTAACTTCGCATAATTTAAACTTCTATGTAACTGTTTTGGCCTGATGACGAGTTACCGAAAAGATGTGTTTGGCCAATACATACCTTAAAGATCCGGGCGGGGAGGCAGTAAAGAGGAGCATCCGTTGCCGAGAGGACAACATTTTCAGTGAGACACGAGAACGGGAACCCCACCATCGGTAGTACAGGTAACCTTGTGATCAGTTTCAGGGTTAAGGCAGAATCGAGGTAAAAGATAAGGTTATCGTTAAGTTTGGGGCTAGGGTCAGGACAGGAGAATGTGTACACTTCCTGGAATTCGTCATAAGGCCGTCTCACCAAATTTTCAACTGCGCAAGCCGACTTGAAAGGAAAAAATATGGCCAGTAGCCGAATTTTGCCTCAGACTTTGAACTACTACTGAGATAAGCACATCTGCCAGATGAACGTGCGTAAGTTCATCCAAAATCCTGAGATTGTGTGAGTCGTCTGCGTTAAAAAAAAACACTTATAGCGACCCTCTACTTTGGTCTCAATCAATACCCCGGTCCTGAACTTAACTTCGAGCATGACAGTATACTCAAACCTAAGCTTAAGCCTAAATCAAACTTTGGGACTAAAACCATTTATGTAAGAAAAAGCGGTTTTAGGGGTTTCTTTCACCGTCAACCGATTTAAAGTAAATTGGTACTACGGATAGGTAAAGTTTCCCTCATATCGCAGAATTAGTGCAAGTGCATCATCTTTCTGGAGATGGTCACTGTCTCCTAGGCGTGAAGGAGGTGGGGGGAGGGGGGTGGCCGTCCATCCCCCAGTTGACGGTCATCGTCGCCGGAATTCGTCTCCTGGCCAGAGACGGACTTCACCGCGAATAGCTTTGTTTGCAAAAATCTGGGAATAGATAATTAATGAGTGCCCACATAGACGCCTGTTACGATGGGAATTCGTCTTTATACGCCCAACAGAGGGCATATAATCAAAATGCCAGCGCTTACTGCTTTCCTTGCCCCGGGCCTACTCGGTTATTAACTACTAAGGTCTCCTGCTGGAGCTACAAATGCCTGTTCCTCCTCCGACAACCGTAGATGAGCCAGGCTCATGCGCCTGTTTGGTCGTCGTTACCGACTATGTTCATCGTTTGCTCGACAGCAGGGTAAGAGCTGAGTCGATGACTTGCGCGTACTTTAGTTCATAGCGGTGGTACACTTGCATTGCATCTACCGCACCCTTCCCTTGGCATGAGAAGATCAAGGAGACCGGAGGTAGGAGAGCGTGCATGTGGCTGACACGACAAACGCTCGTCTAGGCGTACCACCACACGCCCTGGCTCGCAGTAGACACTTGACGGGGATTTTTAACAAATGGATGCGACAGGGATCCCAATCGGCGCGGCGCGAGCCTGCAACTGGGCGTGCCACCGCACCCCGAATGTTAAAATTCGTTACGAATGCGCGTTCTCGATAACGCCTGCCCCGTATTGGTACGGAACATTTACAGCGTGACCCGCTTTAGGGGCAAACTGGGCGCATACATTCAACGAAATCACCATAGGGCACAGGACATACAGCTTGCAGATGCCTCAGTGAAAACGCGCCGGCTGGAATGCGCGAGGAGAGAACTTCCGCGCGTACATCCTACCGTGCAGTGTAACCTGTTCTTATCTTCTAGCTGTCTGCCTGGAACGAGCAAACTTTTCTAAAGCGTTGAAATTCCTTCTTTCAAAATTGCGGCCCTCCGCAAATCAATCACACAGAGTCTCTGGCATTTCAACTTGGTACAGGAAGTTATCTGCGGACGCCTCGAAGACTGTGGCCAGACAGGGAACCCCCACGGAATCCCACGAAGTTATTGGAATTATGTCAGAAGACCCTACCGACGTTTAATAGGAAGACATTACACCAGATCGCAGGGCGTCTGACTGGCTCCCTAGTCTCAGTCCCATTTGCAAAATGGGTCCAAAAAGCGTTTCTCATGGAGACTGAACAACATTCATCCCTCACTCCTCGCTTAAAGTACGCTTTGCCAAGTAGGCTATGCTACGTTGAGTTTCTAATCCAAGCATTTGTCGGCACATCTTCGGCACTGCGTCCGTTTTGCCGGACTGAACCTGGCATTGCGGAGAGGCACTGTATTTGTGGATAGCAAGGGGAAAATAGCGAAACGAAAATGAAAAATAAGCATGTGTTGACCTTATGATCCACAGATGGCATCGATGCAACTACGAAAAATGTCGTGTTGATCGCGTTTATTCTTACGTTTTTTGTCACGGATTCAACTCCCACCAATATCGCCGAGTTTTTCACAACGGGGTATTTCATTACAGTACTTAAATTTGCCAAAATACCTAGTAGTTAAGTGAGCCTGATTCGACTACTCGGGAAAACCTGTCTGGGCATTCGTCCTACTGTATCGGAATCGGCTGGTTCCGGGGGTTGTTGTAGGTTTTTCAGGTAACATAGCGCAGGCGTGGAAAAACTCAGAGCTCTCGACTGGGTCCTCCTAACGTGGACGGTTAGAGCGTTGACTGCACTCAAACCATGCTGTGCTGTCGCGAGTCCAAACCCCGGCGGGGCTGCCGAGTGGAGTCTACCCGGTGTTTCGGATTCCTGCCTGGCTCCATTGCTAGAGGGGAAAAGGGCTGCCCATTGCATTGTCTACTTAAACCAAGTCTGCCCAGTCAGTCGCTGGTCCGTCTTCGATAAAGGTGACCGCGTTGGATCCGACATGTCGGCAGGATGTCTGCCTGGAGGATTAATCTGATGTCTGAGAATCAGGCCTTTTATCTCTCGCGGACCGTCGTGCAACAGCCCTGTGGACGTTCATCCGAGGGTGGACAATGTCCAACAGCCTGTTCTTATACCCCCTCTATCAATTTACGATCCGTTTAGACACTAGCAGTTGGGGGAATGGCAGCTCGAGCGTCGCGGACGATGACATAGAGCACGTGCCCCGCAGCAAGGCAGACGGTGAAATGCGCGTGGATTAGTTTGTTGTAATAGCGGACTTTCACAGCATCTATCACACCCGAGCCCGGTGTCGAGGCATATT